CCAAAGTGAAAACTTTTTAAATTAGACATGCTTAATGGCATGTCAGTTCTCTTTAGAGAAAATAAGGATTAAAGTGTTTGACTGAAATCCAGCCACTAATATGCCGATACCACTATAATGTAGCTTTATAAAATATCTAGTTACCCTATTTATTTATTATTCAGGATACTCTGATGATGACACCAAGCCATTCGACCTTCAATATTTGTCATCTTTCTGAATGTGTGTCACAACAGTCAGCCTAGGCTTCAAAGTTGTCAGTGCCTTTGCCTCCACTACAAGTCCAAGAAATGTATTGCATCCATTAATAGCCCTGTTAAAAACGCGATTTCCTCTGCTATAATTTGTTTTCCTTCCATTACGTGGGAATAATCTGAAGAAAGCTGAACAGCTACGTTATTTTAATAAATGTACTTAATACAGTATTGTGTATCCTTGTACTGAAAGCCTTTTCTTATGTATTGCACTGAGGTTTTCATTTTAAATTTTTTAAAACCAAACTGTGTTGTTCAGAAATATAAACCATGCCACGGCTTGTTAAGAGGTTAATTTTAATTGCATTCAATGATATAAAAGCCTTCCAGATACTACTTTTAAAACTGAAATTGAATTGTTTTTCTTGGCATCTTATCTGGCCTTTTGCAAGGAAAACGTTTGGTTCAAATTTAAATTATTTTAAATAGAAAATATTGCTTATGAGGAAACAAGGTAGGACTCAAGAATACACTCAACTGTTTTACAAGTCTGTAGGCAGTATGTGAAAGGACTGGGTGTTGGAAAAAGGTTTTCTGGCTCTCCTATTCTGTAATGGATAAAAGAACACACTATTGGAAGCTTCTGAGCTCTGTTAAGAATTGTATTTAACCTGAAGCTTGTGAAACAGGGCAAAGCTCAAGTCCACATTCAATACCTCTGACCCTGTAAGTGTTATTACTGTGCACTGAGGGTAATCTCAGAACCTTTGGGTTTTGAAGCACTCTTTGAGTCTTGTTGTGCTGTTGAGACATGTGATATATGTATATAATGAAACTTAAAAACATGAGCCCGGATTCATGATAAATTTAAGTTAATTTTGTTCAGTTATATTTGGCTGTGGTATCACTTCAGCATTTGTTTCTCCTTAGATTCTCCCAAGTAACCTGATCCCATTGAGTCTGTAAAACAACTTCCAGACCAACGATACTCAGGGAAGTTTTTTTCTCAGGTACTCAATTGAGTTTAGTCCAGTGACCCAGCCGGGTGTGCGCGGAATTGATACCAGAGTGAGGCTTTTGCTCTTTGAACTAGTCTCAAAATGTGGCCAAAATGACGTAGTGCCACAAGATTGCCATTGACAACAAGCCAACTCCTGATCTTGGCATCGCTGGCCTCCAAACTGGTATACTACTACAAGCACCAAAATGAAGTCATTCCCTTACCTAGATGTTTGCAGTTGCCCCTGTATAAAGTTTCTGAGCATGAGTTCAGGGATCTTCCATAGTGCCCTATTACATCAGCAGAGTGTGCACAAGCTGGGATTTTCTGGGTCCTGGTTGATCTTTGGTGGTTCTTGTTAATCGGTGGCACTGCTAGAAATGAGTGAAGGTGGGTGGACCACCCTGAATACCTGAGCAGCTTTCCTATTATCATGCACATTCCCTCCGGGCCTCCGAACCACTGATCCGTGAAAATGCAGGGTCACTGAAACCAGCAAACCTGCGTGCCTTGTATGCATGCAAAACTCCAAATCTTTGCTCGCGCTCACAGGCACTTTTTTAATGCACACATGCGGTCACTATTTCTGTCATTTTGTATATCTGCTACTAGAAGACATGGTGATGTGCAGCCCTTGTCTCTCGTCATACCGTCATCTTCATGTGCTTTGCATAATTCATAGCACAAATACTTGCTGCTTTTCTAAAGTCCTTCAATGTACAAGAAAAACTGACTCAGAATAATGTAGTTGAGACTGATTACAAAACAGTATGTAAGGTAACCCACAATCGCAGAGCGGGTTTCAGTAATGGAAATTCCTCGTTTCAAGCCTTGGAGATCTGTGTATCTTGCTCCACACTGTTTTATAATGGGAAAACATTGACATGGACAATTTAAAATAATTAAACCTAACCATTGAGGTCAGAGTGAGTACAAGGGAGGAGCAGATGGTATGTTTAAAGAGAGCTCCCTATTTTTAGGTTGCAGAAGGTGATTTAAATTGCACAATAGAAATGTAGACATTCATATTTTAAAACAGCTGAACACCTTCCTGTTAAGTGATGAAAGCTGTGTGAGCATCTGTGCTGAACAGACATCAAAGTGAGCCATACTTCAATGTATTTTGTTTTACTATCAAACTTTGAAGCTTACCAGGCTCCATTTTTATTCTTGGTACTGATTGTGTGTTCTGAGGAATGAGTTTAGTTTTGTGTGGTTGATTTATATCTGGTGTTTCAACTGCTCAGCAATGAACTGCAACATGTGATTGCAGGTGAATAAATACTGCAGCCAGGTACTGGCAGTAGCTGAGAGGGATCTGTCGGCTTAATTAACATTGCTGTCAACAATCAAAAGTCAGGCTGTGCAATGCAGTGAGTGAAGCTCTTTGAAAACAGAGTTCCACAGTTTCACCCTCATGCTGTGAAAGACTGTACTCTCTGTGAACAGATTATAAAATTAATTTTGGGTAAATTCATACTGGATATGAAACAAACTAAATATGATCTGGCCCCATGCCAGATCTGATATTTGATGTGTAAATATGTGATGGAAAGCAGACCGCTTCTTTGTAACCCAGCTTGATCTCCACCCACTTCCCTAAGATTTATAAACAACTGGGCAATCATGACAGAACGGTGTATAATGAGCAACAGAATATTCTCAAATCTCAGATCTTCTCTGCAGTCATTCAGGGTCTAAAATGTGCTGATGTCAGAATCGTTTGAATAACTGCATTATACACTGAGCATCAGGAAATACTGTACTTATCACTGGGCATGTATGTTTTTATAAAAAGTATAAGGAGTTTGATTATTGATTGACTTTTTATGTGAGAGGCTTTGGTTGTGGCAAATTGTAAGCATTAAATCGTCTCTTAGTTAATTAGGCATAGCGAGAGGGTGCCTGAAAACCAAGAAAGAAAAACCGAAATGACTAAGTCAGCTAGGTGAACTCGTTGGCAGAAGAGCCAAATATTCTTTGGCAAGGCTTTGTATAGGAACGTCAGCCAGTGTGGTGCAGATATGCAGCGCATTATACTAATTGTTGTGTATAACAGACAGATTGATGGGGAAGTTCAAGTGTAATTAAAGTCAGAGTGGGAGGCACTACAGAACTCCATTTGTAATGATTGCTGGTGGCCTGACTGCTCAACACTACTCTGACAGTCCTGAAGACTCACTCATTGCCCTGCTTGCCGTTTCATCCTGCAGTGACAGAATTCCAGGAGGTTAATTCTTGTCCTCCTTGCATAGGAATAGGCCAATTAGCCCTATTAAACATTTGAGTGATAAACTGGGACTATATGTGGGATTTAGGGGCCAGAGACCCATGAACATAACAGCATCTGTAACCTGATTCAGAGAATGCATTAAAAATGTACAGCTTGGATTGCTCCCGCACACAATTCGTTTTAGTGACAGCTGTGATTTTCACTGTAGAGCCCCTGTTGATCAAACCTGCTGTCGACAAGCGTATCGGAAAAACGAATTTACTTATTTCATGTCAGTTCAAGAAAATGGCAGGTCTCTTGTTAAAAACTGTTTTAGTCATTTTCCTGATAAATTAAAAACAAATCTGAAACTTTCATTTGAATCTTGGAATACTAAGTCAAAATCCAAGATCCATACTAAAAGGAGATATTATCTGTATTATGATGGCAGAGCAGAGAATTTTATTCTACACCATTTGCATTTATTAAGCTTGAATTTAATTTTGATTACTGTATGTTTTACTGATATATCCAATTTCTTGCCAAATTTACCTATGCTAGTTAAGATCACATGACAACTTAAATTTTATTAAAAGATTATTTCAGGCCTAGATTGTGAAACAATAAGAGTTACTTAGTCAGGGGCTGAAAAACCATGGTAGAAGACAACTGCCCTTTTCACTTAGCACTGAAGCAGCTCTTACAAGATCTTGGAAAGTCTGGTCAGGAAGGTGTGTATCTACTCTATATGTTTGTTGTGTTCCTTTACAGCTTATTTGACTATAATGTTGATTTTTAATTTCTCTAACTGAATAACTAAAAACCCATTTTCATTAACATTGGTTTTTTAAAAAAAAAATTTTGTTATGTTTTTACCAGTTGAAAAAAAAAAACCTTGAAGATTGTTATAAATTATAAAAAATGAGAACCTGTCACATTTTATTTATGCTGTATGTCAAAGTGTTGCTTCAGCAGGGCTCAGATATGTTCCTAATTCTTCAGCTCCCCTGCTGGATTTAAATCCTTCAAACACTCTCCTCAGCGGTTGGTCTTCCTGTGGTTTTAAAACCTGTTTTAGTGTCATTATAGTAGAAGTGTGCAAATCACACATTTCCACTAAGAGCCATGACATTGAAAGGAAAATGAAAATGAGCATATTTTTCTCCTTGGCATTTTTGTTTTATGAAATAAAACTACAGACATCTGTCCTTGTAAGGAAAAATATATTTTGGTTGATTAACAGGGTCGCTTTAAAACTAGAATATTCTTAACGGGTAGAAATACTTTTGGAAAACTTGAAAGGGGAAGCATAATTTTAAAGGATTTTCTTTTGCCTTAAGAGAAAAGCCTTTGATGAATGCCAGCTGCCTGGACTCACACATGGAGGTACAAATGCACAACTATAAAAACTCCAGTCAAAAGAGAAACGATATATGTTGATAACAAGAACACGCCATGAACAAGAAATAGAAGTTCGAGTAGAAGTACTTATGTGATGTGAGGAATGATGATGTTAGTGTCCACATTATGTCTCTTCACTGTTGTTTTCCAAATGCTTTTCCCCCCTTTGACTCACTCTCTTTGCTCTCCCCAGGCGTACAGTTCCCTACGGACTCTCCAGCTACCGAGGTTCACGGCGAGCGAGGCGCGCGGCCGAGCTTGCACACGACACTGCCCAGGGCCCGGCGGGCTCTCTCCGCTGCTACTGCATGGACCAGAGCGACCCGGAATGTGACGTCTTCTGCAGCAGGGGGTGAGGCGTGCCTCTTGTCTCTGGCGAGGATGTGAACCAAGAGTGAAAGCAAACACTTAAGGAGGTGTTGGTTTCGGGGCATCATAATAGTAAAGGTTCTGTAGGTGCTTAGAGGTGTGTTTGGGGATTTTAAATTTTCAGTTGAATTACGACTGAGAAACGGTGGTAATTTCAGTCAATGACATACAGCAAGTAACTTACTCAAACTGGTAATCATGACCTGAGGGCCAATGACCAATCAAATCCTACAGGAGGCCTGAATGAATGGGAGTTGGGCACAGAGATTGATGCTAGATCGGTTGATGTATTGAAACTTGAAATTGCCAATTATCTTTTACATTATTCTCATCCAATATGGAACAGATAATGAGTGGTAATCCACTTTCCACTGCAGCTTTGTACTGCACATGGGGAATGAGGACTTGTGCATGCACTTTCCTGGGACGCCCATATCAGGAGTGAATGGGCACCCATTCGTATCGGCCATTCACAATGAGAGTGAAAGCAAATGGCTATGTTGGTGTTGGTCTCGGGGCGTCACAGTAGTAATGGTTCTGTAGATACCTAGAGGTGTGAGATGTATAGCAAGAGTGTTTCACTACTTGACACTATGAGTTCTGTGGTGTAGTTGGCCTCTCGCTGAAATCTCTTTAAGCTCCTGGGCATCTGACAGGTCCCATGATTCTCTGCTGCGAACGCAGTGCTAGCCAACTAAAACTCACCTGACCCCGGCAGTGTTTGGCCACCACTTAGGAGAATTCCACTCACAGACTCGAACAGCACTTCCTGCTATTGAAGGCTGAAAGGCAGGGACTCGCAAAAAGAAATGAATTTAAAGTCACTTGGAAGGCCTGATAGATGTTTGTTTTTCCAAGTTTTCTTTGGTGTTTTACTTGGTCCATGTTTCCCTAGAACATAAAATGTCTAAGCTAAAAAAGAAAAATACGTTTGAATTAAGAACCTGTCTTTTTAATGGTAATGGAGATCATATAGTTGTGAAGGAATAAGGGTTTTAAACTAACCAGGGAGCTGAAGAAAGGAAAACGATGAATTTATCTGAAGTTTTCATCTCCTTCCCATGCTCCTCTGCTGTAGTCACAACTCATCTGTTCACCAGAGCATTAATGCTTCAATGATAAATTAGTCATCTTATTACTGAGGAATAAATCAGGTCACCCAGTCTCATAATCTGTAGTGAGCTGGCCATGAAAATACAGTAGTTTTTGTATTGGCAATTTTCCCTAGCATGACTTTGATAGATTCTTCATAGCGTTGTAGAGCTATGACTGATAAGAACAGTTCCTTATAGGTTAAATTTTCCAAAATAAACATGATAGATATACATCATTTACAATAAGGAAGAAATGTGGATGTCATGTGTTTTTATGCATTTTTGTTCTTCCTGTCAGTGTTAAAGAAAAAGAGAGCTGTGGAGATTAAAACGTTGCAGCTGAACTAGCAGTCTGTATGTTTTAATAATAAATACCTACATTCATACAGTTATTACAAACGCTTTCAGTCTCTTTCAGGATTATGGGAACTTTCAACAGGTCATCTTTGAATCGATTTATAGCGCATTCTAAGAGGTTTTGATCACTCTACAGGAGAATTTGTTGAAAGAGTATTTCATAAATGCGAAGGAAACGGAAGATGTTTTCTTGTTTTTAAAAACGCCCCCAGCCTTTGAAAAGACTAATGTGAGCCTTTTTTTTTCTACCAGACAGAGGTCTCCCTGACAGAAGACAATGTGAAGGCCACTGCATACATGGACTCCACTAGACCTGGGTGACACCTCACACATTTTTCTTCATAATGTATTCTTTACAAAATTAAAACAGTCTCTAGGCGGCACAGACTGGTTGAAAAGAAGACAAAAGGGATCATTGTAGAACTCCCTGACATTGGATTTGTAATGCTGCAAATCTCCTGGATTACCAAAGACATAATGAAATAAGAAAGAGGTAAGGAACTCTGGAAAGTTTATTTAAAAAAAGAAATTCAAATATTTCAAGCAAAGCAAAGACTGGTTGAGAAAGACACAATATTGTTTTAACATCAGTTCTGTTGACGCAGAGACCTGTGGATTAATCAGCAGACAAAAGAGAAAACAGGATTTTTCCGTTGTCTCCTACACAGATAGCAGAAGTGGCACATGTGTGGTCACACCAGCATGATATTTTTGGATGTATCAAGAGAAGATCTTATGAAGGGGCACAAAATGCCATTATGACACATTCAGCAACAATGAAACTATAAACCTCAATGGATTATTCATAGATCTTTGAAAGAACTTGCAAGGAAATGAGCAATATACTGTCCCAGTTTTTAACAGTACTATTCATATTGTCTTTGTGGATTTTTCTACTGTGGAAAGTCTCAACATTTTAGATTGCAATCAACCCAAAGTTGACTAACTTTTCATTGAAGCAAATGATATCAAAGCTCATACTGTGTTGAGGTTGTTTCCAATTTTCTTTCATTACAACGTGAAAATAATGCCATAAACCTTTGTTTCAACACCAACATGCGGTTGTCATCAGACTGTCTATACTGTCTGGAAGTATAGTCCACACAAATAGCCTTATTCATTCACAATAATTGATGAGTTGGAGTTTTGATCATATTTAAAGTGCATTGGATTTAACTATGGGAGAGAGTTCCAAACACAATTGCAAAACACACCCGAGTCAAGGTCTGTTGTTAAGACAAAGACCAAGAGGAACTCAGAATGTATGAGAGAAATATTTGCCTGAAAGCCTAATTTCCTCATGTCACATATAAGTACATATTTACTGTATATAAATGAAAGTATTAAAACTAGTTGAATATTTGATTCTAGAAACAGCCTAGTAATAATTTAGAGAATGAAAAATTGTATTGTTTTGTACAAAATAAAGGTCCCTTAAAATTACATATAAATAATACCCAATAATAAATGTGCATTTACTTTGAATATGTTTGCAATAATTTTACATTTGGCACATATATATATGAAGTGTATTATTCCTAATATAAGAAAGTATGCTTAGCATGTACCATAACTGTTATAGCATATAACTGTTAATTCTTACATAGGTTTTTTTTATCATCTCAAGGGCTTGTTCAAAATCATATTCTTCAAAAGGTTTAATGCATTATGAGTGGGAAATAGTTACAGTAAAATGAAAAAGTAATCGGTTTATGCCATGCTGAAAAGATAAGAAAGAAAACAACATTTCGGCAGTGGAGCCTTCATCAGGTGTCATGATCATTATTAAAAATAAAATATACTCATCTAAGCTGGATTCTGATGATTCATAGCTGATTTCTGAAATTGCTTAAAAGGGTTGAACACAGACCAACCACAGGATCAGAATCCCAGTCTTCCTTAATTCATACATCACTGAGGAGAGGTCTATCAAACGGTGTTCCACAGGGAATCTGGTAACTCTCCGAAGTGCCATGTGAATGAAGTGAGTAGTTTTTTATAAATGTGGCTCTCTGGATGCCAAATAAGGTATACAGACTAACTATTTAAGACATTGAACTTTCTGTGTGAAATATTTTGCTTTTATGTTCTAAACACATTTTACAGAATTTATGTCTATCAGAAAAGAAAGCTAAGAAACGGATTAAATTATTTTTCTGGTCTGCTTTGCATTGACTCATTGTGTGGAGACCCATGATACTAGCCAGTAAGATGTTTAAGCCTGATAATTACAGGTATGCTTTGAACAGAAAGTAGATAGCAGAAAGGAACCAAATTTAGCCCAGCCCGTGGAAGATTTATTCCTTTGCTGTAAAAGGTGTTTGAGACAGGATATGCCTACGTACATCAAAGGAATTGGAAACAGATCGTAATGTAAAGTTGTGAAGAAGCATTAAGACAATTTCCTGGGCTGTGAACTCAACATGAATTGTTACAATTTGCACTCTACACAAGACCGAAAACATCTGCTGGTTTTTAAAAAAAAACTTCCTCCGAAATCAAAAGCCAATAGCCTTTGGAGGTAATGTATCGAAGTCCTGTGAGCTTGTTACTTTATCATTTCCAAAACATTGAAATATTAGATGCAGAAGAAAGACAAAGCTAGGTTAAAGTTGAAAATGTGCAAATGACATCTAGAGACTAGAAAATTTAAGCTACAGAAACTACTTCTCAAACATCTCTGTTAATGCAGTGAAGTATAGCAGGAAACCCAAATGACACTGGATATAAAAAGAAGCAAAGGACCACTTGCAGCCACTGCAGCAGTTTCTTCTGAAAGGTGTTTTACAAAGCTTTCCACCTTCTGTTAATTCAAATAATACCAAACACCTAACACTCAGAGTATTGGCTCATCTGTGAAAGTTCAGGCTGCTATAAAAAAAAAACATCCTCCACTGTTCCTGCTCATATACTGTATCTCACAGTAGAGCCTTCAGTACATGGGTTTCATAACACTACATACAGTAGATTCTTCATTTGAAAAGTATTTTGTAAATAAAACTATAGAAATGAACAGTACACAGGTGCATACTGCATGACACAAGAGCACTATTGTCTCTGTGCATGTGTAAGGATATTAACATTCCTTTATTAGCTGTACAGAAACATTTTATAAAAACTTAAAGGTCACCAGTCCTCAATGGTAGCAGGGTCCTATGGTTTTCACTCCACTTAACCCTTTAATTATATAGTTGAACCCATTTAAACTTTTACCCAGATTTGTAGCTGGTCGTGATCTAAAGACATTTACTCTATGAAACGTCCTGGACTGGGTCCCTGAGACATAGACAGGCAAAAATGCAGTGCTGTAGTTCCACAATGTTAATGTAACAGCATTAAGAGACTGTAAGAGACTGATATTTTACCACTAATAGTTTTGTCATATATTCAATTTGAGATTGTCAGTTATGGGTTTATATTACAGTTTAAAATAAATTATATTTTGTGAACCTGTGTTACTGCAATGACTCTTTAATTAGCAGGGAACTATGTAAGAATTTTATAATGACCCCCTAATGTGCACTATTTAGCTACATCCCCTCATAAGCAGAAACATCTGGGAGGTTTAAAAATTAAAGTGGCTCTTTTTAAACATATTGGGATAGACTTCATGTAGAGACATAAACACAAGGAAAGTACTTATAAGCTTTGTTTTCACTGATCGAATTAGATGTTTATATCTGAGAACAAATGTGTATATTAATATAATGATAATAATAAACTTTATTTTATATAGCGCCTTTAAAGGTGGCTTCTCAAAGCGCTTTACAGGATGACAATAACAATAAATAAGAAGACTACAACAATAAATACGAAGAATACACAAGATAAGACACAATTACAGCAATACAACAATAACAATAGAGGAGACTGTGGAAGGTGGTATTAAGAAGAGCAGAGGGGCGAAGAATGGAACCAGTTAAGTAAAGGCTTTTCTGAAGAAGAAGGTTTTGAGTCTGGATTTGAAGGAGTTTAGAGAAGGTGACTCTCTGATATCCTTGGGTAAAGAGTTCCAGAGCTTGGGGGCATAGCAGGAGAAGGCCCTGTCGCCCATACAATGTAGACGGGCTTGGGGGATAGTAAGGAGGGCAGAATTTGAAGAGCGGAGGTTGCAAGGTGAGGAGTAGGGCAATAATAGTTCAGACAGGTATTGAGGTACCAAGCCATGTAGAGCCTTATAGGTGTAAGGTGTAGGAATAAGTCTCTTAGCATCCCTTGTAAAAGTTATGACTCTTAAATATATATACTTCAAGTAGGTAAAGTTAAGCATAAAAAACTATGCCACACTAAACACACATATGTGCTGCACTGAAGAGGGTTTATTTTAAACATCATAAATTGCATCCCTTCTTCTAAGATGCTGCAGGAAAAAACAAAATTGACAGATGCTGCAAAATAAGACTACAGAAGTCTACAGAAGGATAGCTGGGGACTGGCTTTAATGCAGTGTATGTTCACATTCTTTAAAGCATCTGATTTTGTAAACAACTAACAAAAGCACAAAGAATCTTTGTTGTTACTCCTTCTTTTAAAGGGAATTAAACAACATACTACAGGGTATGAAGATAAGAGATTAACAAGGGTGGTACATTTCAGTAAAGCACAAATATTATTGAAATGTCACTGCATTAAAAATGACAAAGTACTTTAAAGCATTAGAGACAAGGCAGAAAAGTACAGAAAGGTGTGCAAGGCATTGCACAATTAAAATAAACAATGCTGAAGCAAACTCATTTGCAAGGATAGTAAATACCATGAAAAACGATCATGCAAATATACTGTGCTAAACATTAGTCACAGAAATATTCAGAGGTGTGTGTGACTAAGCATCACACAAGGTCTGATAAGAACAGAAACCTACTGTACACCTGAGACAGGTGCATTAGGGTTAGATGAAAAACAACAGGACTCCATTTTAGAAAAGTCTTTTAGATACAGACTGGGGAAAATGATTCAGAGTGGAAGGTATGGCTCCCGCTGGGATGTTTTGTTTATTTGTTTGTTTTTTAAAACTGCACAACAAAGCAAGATTAATGGGATTTCTTCTTACCTTTAATTACAATCTCCCCTTTAGGGAAACAGATGACAAGCCTCAATCAAGGAACTCAATATAAAACTACCTCAGGTTTCTACAGTGGTTATGTGCACAGTGTTAACTGTCTTCATACAGAATAAAGATTAAGCAGTATATAAAATCCTGTACTTTTTATAAAAAATGTTTTGTATTTAAAAAAAAACTCTAAATAAAACATTTATGCTTTTGCAGACACTGATGTCCTGCTTCCTTTCAAAAGTGTTTATCATAGCAGAGGTATGAAATTATGAAATAAATATTTTGCATGGGCACTATTCTTGTCATGCTTTTTTTACATGTCTTTTTACAGGGAAGGACTGGGTTGCCTAAGAGAACCTATAACAAAATCAAATCATGATGAACTGCACTCCCTATCCTAGAACCATGGAATTTATTATATATTGTACCAGAACCTCAAAATGATGGTCTGCCAACAGTTTAAAGTCCTCTTTATATAATATAATATGACTAATTTTAGCATACAGTAAGGTTTACTCCTGGGTAAAATACCAAAGATGTATTATTACATAAAAAACTCAAGAACTCTAAATAACAGCATTCTAAAATTTAAAAAAGTTTTAAAAACTCAATGTAAACAGTTGTACGTATTTTCTTCACATTTATACCTGTATGTTGTAAATATGTTATAAATAATTCAAAACAATTTACAACATGTCATTGTATGATATTATAGAACACCCAGTTCTCACAGAATCACCTCTGATCATCCCAGACATCAATTTTGGGGTCTCTTGGAAAATAACTTTTGGGTGCATCACAGCAAATAACTTTGAGATTACATTTAGGAATAACAAATCACGGAGGAGTTTTTATTTCTGCTTATATCACTGTTACAGGTTTATAATCCGGCAGGACAACATAAATTGTTTTGTATTTATCAAATAAAAATGATAATTTTAGAGTTTGTCACTGGAAAATGCTAATACATTAATTCAGGTCTTGTATCCAAAACTAAAAACATGAGAGGGTTACTAATACATCTTGTAATCATCTTAGTTTGTGTCTCTCCACTCCACTATGTTTGCTGCTGCCTATAATTCTCTATCAGCATAATAAAGCAAAATTGTTGGATGAACAAAGCTGAGCTGTAAAATGTTTAAAGCAAAAGTTTTAGAAAAGCTCACAAAAAGTATAAACCTACCAATAATTCTTTAATTCTTTTGACAGCATGCATACTTTTGTCAAATGTATTCTTTGAAAAATGTCTTACACCTGTTAATGTTTGATTTCTCCCTGTGGCATTGTGATAATTAGATGTTTATAAAGCCAATTAAAATCGGTAAAAGGTTTTACAAGTTATTCTCACAGCAGGAAGCAAAATGCTAAAAAGTACACTATCCAGACATTTTCCAGTGTCGCAGTTTGCCACAACAAAATGTTTTTCACAGTTTCCTTTCCATGCAGGCATTTATAGTAAGTGCACCTTACTATAAGATCCCAGATTTAAAAAGCATCACAGTAATGTGAGAGAAATTCTCTGCTTCTTCAGTATGTTCAATGAACAGATATAAATGAATTTCATGCTTTAGTTATTAACTGGTGGTTTAAAGTTGGCCTCTAAAAATACAAGTCAGTTGTTAGCTAAAGAATCTTACCTGGAGAAGGTTATGTATTGAGATATAAACAAAATTTGACAAATCTACAGTAATTAGTCTGGGTTTATATTATATAAGCCTCTTCTCTGCCTGGCATTTCTACATTGAGAGATTTTAGATCTGCTTGTCCTCTCGTACATGTGTGAGCACAACAAGGTTAAACAAACAACTCTTTCTATATTTTCCATGATGGTTCACAGTATTCACAGTTTCTAATTAAATGATGTAATCTATTGTAATCTTAGTTGAATGCGGTTTCTAGGGAATACACACATGTAAATGTTATCAGGAAATCAGTACTCTTATGCTTTTTTTTTATTTGCCCAGGAACTATATTAAATGGTTCCCTATTTCTTTCTACAAGCTGCAGGACCACATATGACAAGTCATACTGATCTGAGAACTTCAGGATAAAATTACTCTCTGGATATGCAGATTTTAAAAGCTGAAAAGGAGTAAGAGCTGAGGTCCTTGATGAGACATCTCTACTACTGTAGCTGTGCCCTTGGAGAGGGCAGTGTTAGCTGCACTGGACAGCAGGTCTGACAAAAGAGGAGCTCACTGTGAGGATTCATAGGTTCCCAAAGAGAAACGCAGATAACAGGAGGAAGATGGGGATCCTGTACTGTTTTCCTGAACTCCTGTGAATGCACCATGTTTGACTGGCTGAATCACAGTCACTGTAGACACTTAAGCAGCCATGCTGCCCAGAACAGGAAGGCCTTAGTTTGACAAACATTCACATAGCGACACACATTATACAGACACCACGTAGTGCTGAAGAAACTCCTTTCACCCAATCACTTTACAACACCATCAACTTTGACAACAACTGAAAAAGAAGTGGAGGAGAACACTTTCAGCTCTCAAAGCCTTCGCAGTCCTCCTGGTGAAGCAACTATGAGTGTTTTAATCTCACAAGGAGTAAATACCCAACCAAAACAGTATACTTTCACCTCCTTTAAGCCGTCTGGTTTTATCCAAGTACATTAAGAACAGGACTGGCAAATGACAGCTGGTTTTGAGGCACTATAAGTAATTACAATGTGGGTAACCCACTCATTTCAGTCCACAGCTTTCTGAACAGCTGCCCAGCTTTCTGACCTCACTATTTACACTAACTTGATACTTAAAAGGGAAAAAAGCTGATTCTCTGTGGTCCTATTCTGGCAATGAACCCAACTGATTTCTTGAACATATTAACAATGTTCTGTTCTGTCCTGCCATGAGAAGGACTGGAAATGTGAGGCAGACATTCTCACATACTGTATAGAGCTGCATATGCAAACAGAAGAAGCAAAGTAGGTGTTTTGCTGGGCTCTGAGAAGCTGTATTCTGATAACCATGCAAATAGTTTTCTGTATGCTGTCACGCACCTGGGAACCTTTAGAAGACAGCTTTACCTTCTGGCCATGATTTAAGTGTATTTAATTTCCAGAGGCTTTCCTGCTCTATACGCTTTAATTAAGATTGGTATGTCAAAGCAGCATGCAGCAAAATTTCATGAAACTTTCCTTTTAAGCACAAAGATCAGGTATTGCTTTGTCCTGGAATTCATCGTACTTGGACCAATCCAAGAAGAATATAATCACTGTGTTTTGCTTTTGCTATATTAAAACAAATAAAAAATGGAATCAAAAATCCATGATTGATTATGGCTGTATGAAATCCACGCTATGGCTGTCTTAGGCTTGTAGCTTAGGAGTGGAATGATCCATCATAAGTAGTTTTAGAGGGCCTCTAGGAGTGGTTGTTGGAAGTTTGGTGAATTAATAAATATGAATTACTATTAACAGAATTTATTTCTGGGCAGGCTACATGTCTAAAACCCATACCTTTACTAGTAAATCCTTGATAATAGAAACACACATCCATTCATTCATTTTCTGCTTTATCCAATACAGGGTCACAGGGAAGCCAAATCCAGCCTCAGCAACAATGTGCGTGCGGCAGGCTATATCCTGGATGGGACGTCAGTCCATCACAGGGCACACACAGAACCAGACAAACACAGACACTCACACCTGGGTCAGTCTTCCCAGAACCCAGTTAGCCCTACCTGTG